TTAAACAGAAATACAGTGATGGGCAGACGAGGGATTGGGAGGAAAACGTCTAAGAAGGCTCCTCGCAGGAGGGAAGGGGCAATCATGGAGAAACAGTGGGTCCCCGTTTTCACACTGAAAGGCCGGCCTCCTGGAGCCCCCTCAGTTCCTGTCTGTCACCCACTCTGCCTGAACTCCCTCGGCACCTAGCAGAGAGCCCTGAACCGCGGGAAGAACCTCTGGCGTCCTCCTGCAAGGCGGGGTGCAGGAACACAGGAGGACACGTACAGATCATTTCGTTCTAATTTTCATATTTCTCAGACTATTTATCCTGATCTTAAAATCGTTACAGTTCTATCAGGAGATACAAATTGCACGTGAGGCCTTTAGATGCTCCGTGAGCATCCTTGTTCTTCTATACTTGCCGCCGCAGCTTCTGGCTCTGCCCACCGAAATCCCCCCGCCCCGAGCTGCAGCTTCTGGCTCTGCCCACCGAAGTCCCCCCGCCCGGACTTGCATGGGGAGTGGTGGCGATGCACGGGTGTTGGCCACGGAGGCTACCAGGGCAAGTAAGCAGGACAAGACGTGGGCGTGTGTGCATGTGTGCATGTGAAGTCCCTAAGGCCTTGCAAGGAGAGCGGCTGGAGGGTGGAGGCAGTGAGGTGAGCTGGGATCCCCTGAGGATGCAGAGGGAAATGTGGCTGAGGGGACAGAGGACAGGGGCAGGTGCAGGAGCCATCGAGGCAAACAGATCCAGGTGTGATCCCAGAGCTTGGCGATGGACTGTGTACTCGGCTGAATGGTAGCACCAAGAAAGATCTGTCCTCATCCTAACCCCCAGAGACTGTGTGCGACCTTATTTGGAAAAGAGGCCTTTGCAGATGCAGTTAAGTTAGAGATCTGGAGATGAGATCACCGTGGATTACCTGGGTGTGTCGTAAATCCAAAGATAAGTGTCCTTATAAGGAACTCGCGGAGGAGAGACACACCACCCGCGGTGCTGGGGGGAGGCCAGGTGAAGATGGAGGCAGAGATGGGAGAGATTCGGCCACTAGGAGCGCCACCAGGAGCTGGAAGAGGCAGCAAGCCTCCTCCTCCAGAGCCTCCAGCGGGAGCCCGGCCCTGCCCGCATCTCGATTTCAGACTTCTGGCCTGTAGGACTGTGAGAGAACAAATTCTTCTTGCTGTAAGCCCCCAGTGTTCAGTCATTTGTCCCAGCAGCCCCAGGACATTTGCACAGACTGGACGTGCAGGCCAGGGCAGGGTCAGCCAGCTCCTCTAGTTACCATTCGCCTCAGGAGGCTCCAGGAAGAGAGGTGGACCAGCTCTGTTCTCGTCCAACCCCTGAGGCCAACCAGCAGCTTTCTCAGTGGTGCGGGGCTCCCTCCCTCCCACCCACGCCTGCACTGATGCAAAGGGGCCCGGAGGCTGAACAGAGAACGGCACCCACGCAGAAGGAAGGGGCAGAGTGCTAGACCATTGAAGCCAGCCAGGGAGAGACACTCCTGACAAGTGGCCCATGAAATGCAGGACAATTAAAAATGCATTCAGCTTAGATTTCGGAGAGCCATTTCCAGAATGTAAATACCACACCTGTCATTAAAAATGTATTTATTGCAATTACACAGGAGAATTCTTGGGAGGCTGGGTGCGCGTTCAATAAGTGTGTCTTTAATAACCCCATTGAATATGTGTTGCCAGGCACTGGCACCCTTAACCTCCCTCCACGTGCACCCTAAACGGCGGACAGAGGGCGGTGGCATCCCAAGAAATGACCGATGCCAATCTTTCCCCTTCCAAACAAACTCGCACAAGTCTCAAAATAGAGAGGACAGGAGTAGACGATGCTCACAAGAGAAAATGCGATTAAACACAGAAACTGCCCACCCTTGCTAGGAATCACAGGCATGCGAATGAAAATGGCACTGCCGTCCCTCTGGGCCGGTAGGTTAGCAAGTTTCGGAAAAGCTGTCAGCCTGAAGCTGGCCAGGAGGCAGGGCACTGCCCCAGGTGGAAGAGCTGCTTTCCTCCTGAAAAAGAATCTGGCACTTCCGCATGCCAGCGTAAATCTGCTCAGTAAAGATGCGTCCCAGGGAACAAAAAGGAAAGGAAAGCGCCGTGCTGAAACTTCTTACGGCAGCAGCAGCGCTAAGTACCAGAATGAATCGATTCAAGGGGCGAGTGCAGGGCCATAAAACGTGACGCAGCCCGTGGCACAACATGGAAAAACGGGAACCATCTTGTATGCGTGAAAGAAAGAAGATTCACAACTTTATTCTACGTCTCACTGTACAACTATCTCAGCATAAGAGGGATGAGATAAACAAAGAAAGTAATTGGGCCCCACGCGTGGGGATGTGGGTGAACTGTCTTGAAATGACTGATGCTTCTGCATGTATTTTTAATAAAGGAGAGAAAATGTCTGAGTCTAGAGACAGTAATGAGAAAGGAATGTGGAAAATTAACATCTGTTGATTTGCTTTGGATTAAAACTAACTTTAGAGGGTGTGCTGTCTCTTTCAGCTGCCCAACCTCCCATCCAGGGATGTTTTATCCCCATTTTACAGACAAGGAGACTGAGGCTCTCGGGAGGAAAAAGAGGCCCCTGTGGAGCAGCTCTGAGGTGAGTGGTTTGGCCTCCTTGAGACAGGCTGGGACCTGGGACCCTTTGCTGCAGCGCTTGCACCTGGACAAACATCTCCTGGAGCAACAAAATACAAAGAAACTACAAGCGACTAAAAATAACTGCGAGCCCGTGGAGTTGGGGCAAATTATGGACAACACGGATACAAACAGACCAAAAACCCAACTTCTGAAGAGCCGGCAGCAAAAACAGGGTGTCGGGAGCAAAAGCAGGTCCTGAGCATGCTCCCCTGTCCCCCTGCACTCAACCCCACGGAAGGGGTGGTCAAACCACTTACGCTGCCCCTTCTCCCGGGACCTGCCCTTCCCCTCACCCCATATAAGGAACCAGCTCGCTGCCCTCAGGGAACAAGCAAGGGAACCTGTTGTTTGTTTTCGCTCCCCCCTGCTGCAGCAAGGGCCCCAGTAAAGCCTTGCCTGAATTTCTTGTCTGGCCTCTGATCAATTTCTATTGATTAAGGAGGCCAAGAACCCTGGTCCTTAACATCCTGGTTTCCCTACCTGCTTCTGAAGATTTCTGAGTCTGGAGGCCTGGTCCCCATGCTGTGGGGCTGACCAAGGTCTGTTCCACCCGCCATGCTACCCCGACTAGGACTCGCAGCAAATTTTAACTGCACCCAGCAACTCTGTCTGAATCAGCACACCTTACACCAGGAAGGCCCCTTGACTACCCGAAGCAACATTTCCGATAACCTCACTTTCTCCGTCCCCAGCGGTGCTGAGACGCTTCGAGAGCAGAGGGAAGCTGGTACCCACACTCAGGGTGGATTAGCGAACGTTCATGAAGATCTGGGCTGACAGGCAGGAGCTGGGGAATGCGTTCGTTAGTCGAGGAATTCCGCTAGGAGGAAGGGAAGACAAGTGCCTCTCTCCACTTTGCAGCCAAGGGGACCTGTCCTTGGACCATCCACCTGGCAGGAGGGAGCCCTCCAGGGGCCGGCCCTTCCCAAGGAGATTGGCCCTGAAACCAGTCCTCAAATGTGAATCTTCAAAGGGCGGCCGATGAGATGTCACTGGAACTTTAATGCTCTCACCACTTCCCAATCTCCTCGCAAACAATGAACGGCCTTATCGGACCCCGGAGGGGCATTTTTGGAAGCAACCTCCTTGGTGGGCGAGTTGCTTCAAGGCACGAGATCAGAACAGTACCAACACATAAAGAAGTTGGGGGTCGCAGCAGGAAAACATCTGTCGCAGACTGCTTGTCCTGAGGCCGGCGATGGAATTGGAAAGCAGGCTGGTGACTTTGGGAGGCAAATCCACGGCTGAGAGGGGCAGGCTAGGAAAGGTGCTTCTGTTGGAAAAGGGAAGGAAAACACACAGCTCCCCAGACCCCACATCAGCACCAGGGCGACCAAGCCGGCTGGTCCAGGGGCAACCAAGCCGGCTGGTCCAAGGCAACACTGTTCCTCATCTAGCAAAGAAAGCACGCAACTCAAGGGTCATTTCGGCAACTGGCCAAAGCATTACGGAATTCCCTCAATAAGAACCAACAATGAATCATGGAGCGCCTTCACTAAAAGCAAAGCCAAAAGTCAAAAATAAATCAACTCAAGGTGGTTGCACACAAATCAGGAGTCCTGATCAGCAGGTTTCGGTGTTTTTAGTGGATTGCAAATTTAAAAACCAATTAATTATTACTCAAGAAACACATCTTGGAAAGCAAAACGGTTCAACATCCAGGCAACATGGGAATGGCGCACGGGGCCCGACGGACACAGCATCCTTGCCCGAGAGAAGCTTTGAAACCACAGCCCAAGATGCTGGGAAACTTCCTTCCCCTTCCTGGGTGAGCAGACGTAAATACAAAGATAATCATAACCAAAATGACTTCTCAAGGCCTCCTTCTCTCCCACCTCATTTAAAACATCAAAGAGGCTGCCTAATTCTGGGGCTGAATTCACATTTCACATATAAAGAGATAGTACCCGTCGTTGGCCAGGGGCGTTATTTATTTACCAAGCTCTCTGGGCTGAGCCAGGAAGAAAGAAAGACACCCGGACCGTGAGGATAATCGGTGTGTTTGGGGGACTCCAGGAGCCGTGTCGGAAGCTCAGAGCACAAGCAGAGGAAACTGTGCACTGAATTCACAACGCAAACCCGCTTCCCCGGGGGGAGGAAAAAAAAGCGAGAACACAGACGGAAAGCAAAGAAAGCAAAGAAGCCTTCTGAACGGCTGTCTGTTCTCCAGCCCTGTCTGTGTCACCGACGAAACACTTTATTAGCTTTCAACTTCTGTATGCGTTTTCTAGCCAAAGAAAAGTCGAGAGGCCGCCAGCCAATGGGGGCTGCTGCAGCCGGGCCTCGGGATCTCAGAGCCCGGCCTGGGAGACGCGCAGGTGTGGGAGGAGAAAAGGCCCACCCTCGGGCTGACTTACCGCCACAGAGAACTTTCCAGAACCTTCCCCATGTCTGCATGGTAATTCTTCGTCAGGATTAAGATCACCTGTGGCGGCAACAAAGACAAATGCAGAAATCAGTGGATTTCAAGGTTCTGAACGGGGGATATGATAGAACACTTCCCCCACCCAGGATTTGGGGTCTCTCCGAGTGTCAGCTGCCCGGGCCTCTCTAGTTGACCCCAGAGTCCCGGCCACCTTGCCCCAAGGCACTCAGACCTGGCGCTGGTTTCTGCTCTGCAGAATGATTTGGGGAACATCCCCGTCCTGTGAAGTCCACCCAGTAGCTGCCACTCGGCAGGAATCACTCCAGCTCGGGCCTGAACTATCTCAAACTGTGGTCCAAGGGATGCTGAGGTGGTGGTCCTGGTGGGCACAGAACACATGGGGCAAGGCTTCCAAAGAGGGGCTTAGTCCCCACCAGCGCCTTCGAGAATGACCAGAAGCTGGCCAGCACGCAAGACAAGGGCATCCCCGGAAGTACATGGTGCCATTACGTTCCCCGGAGTGGCGGCTGATGACAGAGCCAGCGACAGCGGGCTGGGAAGGTGGGCGAGGACAGCTGGGACAGCTGGAAGGGCCCATAAATCATCGACGGCACACACACGTTTTATTGGTGCTAAACTATTCACCGCACACACTGGGCCCTACTTAACAAGACATCTTCATTTCATGCCTGTGCAGGAAATGCAACTGTTTATAAAAATGAAAAGAAACGTGTGTAAGAGCACCCCAAAACTCTCCCCTCAAAAATGTAACAATCACAAGGAAAGGAGGCTTCATTCACCTGCCGGGCAGGAAAAGAGCCCCCTCCCCAATGACTTAACGAGCCACTGCATTTTCCTGGACATCACACTTCATTTCACTCACTGCCAGACCCTATTAGCTGCTCCTAGCATTCCCGTTGCCATGGCAACCCCGGGAGGTAAAGTAGGAACAGCCCCTGGGTCCCAGCGGTGCCACTGGCCTGGATAATTTAGGGTCACCACAGTGGCCATCCCCAAGTTTGGTTCCTTCTCACGAGCAGGACTTTCTCTGCTCTCCGTCTTTGGGGGAGTAGCCGCTGCAGCAGTTTGGTTGGTCTTCCTTTCCCTGGTGATTAAAGCAGGGAAGATATAAGGAAGGGATGTCAAGTGAAACAGGCCAGTGTGCATTTTAGAGGCAGCGATGATTAAAAAAAAAAAAAAAAAAAAAA